GAGAGAGAGAGAGAGAGAGAGAGAGAGAGAGAGAGAGAGAGAGAGAGAATCTCAAGCAGGCTCCATGCTTAGTGCAGAGCCCCACGCAGGGCTCACGCCCACCACCCTAGGATCATGACCTGAGCTGAAATCAAGAGGCAGATGCTCAACCAACTGAGCCACCCAGGCGCCCCTCATTTGATTCTTGAAGATAATAGCTCTATGAGTTAGATAGGGCAGGTGCTATTAGGGAGAGTATGTGACCTTATTGAACACCTGTACTCACTGTTCTGGGGTCATGGACTCATCCCAGCTCTTCAGCTCCTAATACTGTGTGGTCCAAGGCCCAGCAGCATCAACATCACCTGGGATATTGTTAGAAATACAGTCAGAATCCCTGGGAGTGGAGCCCAATGGTCTGTGTTTCAACAAACCCTCCTGGTGATTCTGATGGGTCCTATAGTTTGAGAATCCCACCACACCCGTACGCTTGCTCGGGTGACTTTAGTACTGGGCAAACAATGTGAGTTCATCATAGTTGTAAGTTTGAAAGTTTTTTCTACTCTACCTCTTTCCCTACTTGCTAGCCTTGGGATCCGGGATAGGTCACTTAACAGCTGACCCCTGGTGATGCGTTTCATCTGCAGAATGAGTAATAATAATAATAATAATAATAATAATAATAATAATAGCTTCCCTGCCTCAAGTCCTACAGATGAGATCATACAATTTTTTACTAGCTTCCATTATTTACACAGAGTTTGAGTCTTAGGACAAGCTTAGGTTTGTTGCTTTTATATTTGGGGAGTAGTTTAAGCTTAATTATTTAGGAATTGGCAGAAGCCATACTTTCTGAAAGTGGTGAGGAGACTTACAAGCAGTGGGGTGCTGGGGCCAGTTCCTACCGGCTTAGGAGAGCTCATTGTGTGCATGTCTTCTCAACTCTGTGTTAGTGACATCATGTTGGGAGCTTGAAATTAGCCATCGTGGGGGCGATTATGCCACAGAAATTGGTAATAGCTTCATCTGCATGAAGGTTATAGCTTCATCTGCGTGTTTGCTGGATCTGATGTTTCAGATCTATCATCATTTAAGACCCATTATAGAGATGAGCATTAGAATATATATAAAGCTAGTAGGATAGAAGTCAGAATCAGCCCACAGAAATGTTTGGTTGGCCTGCAATATTTTTAAAAAGTTAATTCGCTGTCAGATAATTTATTACACTGAGCCCCCTTTACCATAGGGCAACAATGGGCTGCAGGCGAATTGTAAATATGTGTATATTGTCCTGTGTGCAACAATCCCCATCATCCTGTTACTTTACATCCACTCAAGGGCTTCACTCTTCATGTTTTCTTACTGTCTCCTGTAGGTATTTGCATTTGTTACCCCCGATATAAAAGAAACTAAATGTGTTTTTTGGAGAATGAGTGGTTTTCCATAGCTAGGATCTGAACGTGCTGTTTTAGGCTTTCCACAAAGTTAATATAGTTGTATTTACAAAGTAGAAAGTCTGGGGAGTAATTCCCATCTTGTTCTGAATTTCAGTTGGTCTGTTTGAATATCCAAGTAAGGATTTGGCCCATTGCTTAACACTTGGGAGCCTGGACTTTTTCTTGGATGGTGAAGACTTTTGAGGGAGGTCTCTACAGGTCTCCGAAAGTGACTAATTTCTGTTTCCCAGTTTGGGGATGCATGACCTGGGCTTTGGAAATATCCACCCCTCAGTAAAATGTATAGCAGAGATGTTTATTCGCTGCTAGGACTTTATTTGAAAATTTTTTTAATGTTTATTTATTTATTTTGAGAGAGAGAGAGAGAAGGAGTGGTGGGAGGTGGGGGGCAGAGGGAGAGGGAGAGAAAGAACCCCAAGCAGGCTCAGCACTGTCAGCGAGGAGCCTGACACAGGGCTCAAACCCACAAACCATGAAATCATGACCTGAGCCGAAATCAAGAGTTGGACACTTAACCGACTGAGCCACCCAGGTGCCCCGAAAATGATTTTGATGGGAAGAATGAGATAACGATGTTTTCTTTCAGATCAAAGTTTGTATGTGCTTAGTTTATTTGCCTTGAGGTTTTTCTTTTTCCACAGCATAAAAGCTGTGCCACACTGTGTCTCTACGTTTGTGATGTTGGCTCTGGGCATGGCTGTCAATATGGTTGATGGACCTCTGATTAATTTTTAAGCAGGTTAACCTATTTTCCCAAGACTGGCTGATGAAATTGATACTTTTCAGTTTGGTTTGACCCAAGAAGCGCTAACTTTCCCTGTCCCATTGAAAAAATGTTTATTAAACAATTACGATGGGACAGGCCTTTGAGCGCTGTGCTCAGGGGCACCTGATGAACCATAAACAAAGCCCGGATGTGGTTAATGCTCTAAGCGGAAGAGCATGGGGTTTCATATGTGTCATACAATCTTTTCAGGTCTCCAGGTAGTTTTCTACCTAAAGTATTACCCCCTTAAAACGTATATGATTACTTGTATCACACCCCAAATTTTCACTTGGTAAAAAAAGGAAATGTTTGGAATCATGTATGAGATAGGTTTACTTTATCAGCAAGTGTCATTTAGGATGATTGTTTCTGGGGACCTCCTTTCTACTTGTTGGATGATATGCTGCCCAATTCATGAATCATCGAACAAAGCCAATTAGATCTTTAGATTAAAAAAAAAAAAAGAATAATTCTTCGTATAAGAAAACTTGTACCACCTTGCTGGTAACCTGTTCAAACTAATTCTGCTCTATAGGTATAGATTTAGTGGGTTTTCTTGAATGGGAAAATTCAGATGGGTGATATGAAGTCAAAAGTTTTCTTCCAGCTGCTAACTTTTATAATGAAAATGATGGCTTTCTGGCAAAATATCTAAGTACAGCACTTGTATAGGTTGTTTCCAGATCCCAGAAGTACTTTGCGTTGTGGAGACAAGAGAAGAACAGGGAGTCACTGGGAGCTGTTTGCTAGCTGTATCACTGAGGGAAAGTTATTTAAGCTCTGGGAGCCTTAATCATAAAGGATAAAATACCTACTTTTGGGTTCCCTGAGAATTAAATGATCTACTACAAGTTCTTAGCCTGTAATACACAATAAACACTAGGTATTATTTTCTTAAAGATTTTTTTAATCTTTATTTCTTGATCTTTTTGAGAGAAAGACAGTGAAGTCCGTGAATCTGTGACCTGAGCCGAAGTTGGACGCTCAACCGACTGAGCCATCCAGGCAGCCCCCCAAAGATATATATATTTTTTAATTTAAGTTAGACCTGACAAATTATCTTCTTTCACTAGTTCAGTGTCATATTGATGATTTTTAGATTTTCTTTTTTCTTTTTTTTTTAGTCCATAGGAAATGATCCTCAACTCATGTTGATGATTATTAGATTTTTTCTTTCTTTCTTTCTTTCTTTCTTTCTTTCTTTCTTTCTTTCTTTCTTTCTCTTTCTTTTTTTGTCCATGCAAAATTATCCTCAACCGAGACATATGGACCAGCAATAATACAACTCTTGGGGGCCATGAATTAAACTTTTGAGGATGCAAAGGAGCCATTCTCCCCTAAGCCTGCCCCACAGCCAACTCATTCCCATCTTCTTTTTTCCCCCTGTACCTGGGAGAAAGGGAGTTTTTGTCTCAGAGGAGCATGAAAAGGCACTTTAGGACCACCTCCACCATTAATAAAATAGCCAACATCTTTTGAGCCTTTTGTACATATATTATTATCATGAAATCTCTACAACAACATTGTACAGTGGATATCATCCCCATTTTACAGAGAAGCAGCCTGAGGCTTGACAAGTTAAATAGCTTGCCCCACATCCCTCAGTTAAGTGTTAGAGCTAGAATTCAAAGCCAAGTCTATCTAAACTCCAAAGCCCAGGCCTGGGAAAAGGAGAGCTGGATTTCGAAGGCTCAAAGGTGTTTGTCTCCAGCTCCTAGGCTCGCTGTGCCTCCCTAAGGACCTCATCGTGTCAAAGAAGTGTGGGATTCTCTCTGCTCTCAGAAACTTCTCACTCTCTGCCCTGCAGGGGAGCCCCGGTCTTAGCGATGCGCTCTGTTCGCTTCCTGTGGCTGCTGTAACAAATTATCCCAAACGTAGTGGCTTAAGACAACAGAAATGGATTCAGTCATAGTTCTGGAGGCCACATGACCCAAATCAAGGTGATGGCAGGACCACACTTCCCTTAGAGGCTCTCGGGCAGATTCTGTTCCTTGCCTCTTCCAGCTTCTGGTGGCTGTTGGCGTTTGTTGGCCTGTAGTGCAGTACTCCAATCTCTGCCTCTGTCTTTACCTGGCCTTCTCCTCTGGCCATCAGCTCTTTACTGTGTGTCTCATAAGGAAACTCGGCAGTGGACTTAGAGTCCACTCAGATAATACAGGATGTTCTCTTCATCTCAGGATCCTTAACTGAATGACATCTGCAAAGACCCTTTTTCAAAATCAGGTAACAGTCACAGGCTCTAAAAATTAGGACATGAACATACCTTTCAGGGCCCACCAGTTCAACCCATGACACATGCTATTGGATGCTTTCCCAGCAAGCAGGCAATTTCCTGTCCCTCATTTCCCACTCTGGGCAGACACGATGTCCGGCCAAGGTGCTTCTCTGGCAGAATGACTAATTACAACCAGATTTCACAACTCAGTGTTTCAAAAATATTGTCATGCTTTTACTGTTAATAACACATTTTTAAGTCCAGCTAAAAGCCTACGGGGCTTCCCCGGAAGTGGTCATAGCCTCTCTCATGAGGTTTTGTTCTCTTTCAGATTGCTGACCTGCAGCTCCATAAACTGGATGAACTGGACTGTCTGATTCAGGGCCTGCTTTACGTCGACTCCATTGGCTTCAATGGCAAGCCAGAATGTTACTATTTTGAAAATCCCACAAATCCTGAATTGTGTCAAAAAAAGCCGTACTGCCTTGATAACCCATACCCTATGTTGCTGGTGAACATGGGCTCGGGTGTCAGCATCCTAGCAGTGTACTCCAAGGACAACTATAAAAGAGTTACAGGGACCAGGTAAACATGGTTTCTACTAGAAGAACCTTTCTGTACTTAAATCCAGGCGTCTCTCTTGAAGACCAGTTTGTAAAAAGATTCTTTGTACTGAGTCCATTTTTAAAAGAAGGATCTTACGCTCCTCAGCCAACCAGAAAGGATTTATTGCATGATACGTTAAAATAGTAGAAGGATGCTTTATATAAAGGTGAATAAAACACAGTCCTTACCCTGCTGGAAACTGGTCAGGTTGAGGGAAGGATTAGCACACACCAAACAGAAGGCAGTCCATGTTAAGTGCCAAATGAATGGCAGGGACAATAAGAGAGTAGAATTCAGAAGAAAGGATGCTTGGGATGGTCAGAGATGGCTTCGGAAGAAACCTTCTCTTGGAATTTCCTTGGTGCCTGGCACAGGATGCGTGGCTTGAAATAAATCACCACTGCAACCAGTAAAGCAAACTGGGTTTACAAAAAATGTTTTTTTTTTTTTACCCTGAGTTAAATGTTCCAGCTGAAAGCCAGAACGGTTGGCACAGGGCACAGGGACTCTGCAAGTGCAACTGACGGGAAGACAGTGCCGCAGCTGCACTTGGGCGGGGTGCCTTGCTTTTAGCGCACGCACACACCCAAGTGCAGTTGTGCCCAGCTTCCTGTTCGTAGTGATTCAACAGGGGCAAAAGAATCCAGTGTCAGAAATCTCTGAGAAATGCTAGTGTAAACAAAATCTAGGAAGTTTCTCTTACTTCTAAGTGAAGGATTCGGTGTGAAGTGTTTCTCCCACCAATTGGAGCACAGAACCCGTTTTTGGAGGAATAACTTAAGGAACCAGTGCCAGGTGGAATGCATGGTTTTGGACATGGTATCAAACCCGTCGTTGTTAATAGATGAAGATATCGTGGAACTTCTCTGGGCCTCAGTGCCCTTGTTTGTGCCACAAAGGGGGTTGTTTCTTAGGTTGTTTCTATGGGCATTTCTAGTGCTGACATCCTCCACTATTACTTCCCTGTTAGGAGAAGAGCACTGTTTTTCGGGCGTATTTCTCTGCCCTGTGATGGGTCCGCATTAGTCAGTGTGACTCACCACTGGGGAAGGGAAGATTTAGTCCTCCAGGAGACTTGGGCAATGTCTGGAGACTTTTTTTTTTTTTTTGGTTGTCATAATCGGATGTGGGGTGTGACTGGCATCTAGTGGCTAGAGGCCAGGGACACCGCTAAATATCCTACAAAGCACAGGGAAGCCCCCAACAACAAAAAGGTACTGAACCCCAAAAGTCAATAGTACTGCTGTTGAGGAACCCTGGCATGTGCGTGCGCACACACACACATACACACACACACACACACACACACACACACACACACACACACTCCGACTGAATCCTGCTTGTGTTCAGAATATCGAATGTTAATCTCTACTCGGCACACATTTTCTCAGTGAGCATACAGAACTAAGCTTCCTTGCTCACAGAAGAATCACAGCTGTCCCACGACTGTATTAGGACTGTCAGGAGTGTCAAAGACAAATGAATATTTCGGCCAAGCTGGTTTTACCTTAGAGAGTGATCTCCTAATACAAGTACAGTTTTGAAGAAACTACAGACTTCTTCCCAGAAGGAGTCCTTGATTGGTAGGAGCTAGTCCCAAGGTAACAAGCTAAATAAACACTTTTCCTCAGTTAGAGATATTTATAATTTCGTTGATTAACACTTAGCAAATTCATGCATCACAATCACAATTCTATTTTCTCAAACTTGGAAGTTCCAGGAATCTAGGTCATCTTCTTGAACAGCTGCTAATGAGCTAATTGTGGTGTTTGGCTTCTATTACATGTGTAATCATGCTCATGAATTCCCATTATTGGTAAATGCCCATGAATGACCGGTGTGTTGCAACCATCAACAGACCCTGTCTGGATATCCAAGTTACTCTGCAAATGCTTTTCGACCAGTAGTTTTGGAAACATGCTATAGCCGACTGAAGGTTCATAGAGAGCCCTTTCGAGGGCTGCCACAGGTAGGGGAAGGAAAGGAAACATCAGTTCTGTGGGCTGCAGCTCCTCCTTGGCCAACCAGAGTTGTTCTGCCAAAGGCTTCCAAGTTACAAAAGCACCGATATAAATAAACTATTATGGTCGGCAATGAACGTCAGTTTGTAAAACACACTTTGGGAATCACTGATCTAAGCAAATGGCTTCAGCTTTAAGTTTACTACTGCTATCGTGAACTGGTGGCTATAACTCCAGGTTTTTTGTGATTATGTTATACTCTATTTTCTCAAACATTTTTATTTTTAGGAAGCCACATCATTACAGGAGATCAGTTTCTTTTAAGCATATGACTTTATTATTTTTTTTAATTTTATTTTTTATTTATTTTTTTTTTAA